TATTTGAAATGTTGCTTTTTTTGCATCCACAGGACCCAGAATTCCCCAACCGGTGGAGTTACTGAGGCTGGGAGTTGTAACTTTAAAAAGAAGTAACTTTGCCCAGACTTTGTGAGTTCTATATTTGACTGCAAGTCTCATAAGCAGCCAAGACTTGGAAAAGTTACTTCTTGGAATTACGGCTTCCAAAATCCCCAGCCGGCGGCCATGCTGACTGAGGATTCTGGGTCTCGTAGTGCAAAAAGAATAAGTAACTTTTCCCCAGGCTCAGAGGGAGGGAGGGAGATCTCTCTCTCTAGGCGGGCTTTCTCCCTCCTGGTCCCTCCATCGCCCTTTTTCCTTTGCCGGAGAGCTTCTGGGAAGGAAAGGCAACCGCCTTCCTTAATGAAACCTGTTGGTTTGTCATTTCAGAATCGTCGCTGACTCCGCCTGGACCGGACCTGCCGCCGTTCTCTTCTCTTCTCGTCCTTCCCTTTCCCGGAGGCCCCGATGGCGCTGCCCACCTTGCCTTCCTTCTGGAGCAGCCGCAGCCGAGCCCTCGAGCAGCAGATCGTGCGCCACCGGGAGCAGGAGGCCCGTTTCCGGCAGCAGTGGGAGCTGAACAGCCGCTATTTCAAGCAGTCGGGCGTCTACACCTCCAAGCAGGCCCAGTGGGGCTCCCGACAGTCCTACCAGCAAAGGTGAGGCTGGGGACCTCTGCGGGCCGGGTCCTCTGCTGGAAGGAAGGGGAGGAGAGGTGAGGTGAGGGCGCGCAGAGGACAGACGGACCCCTGCCCTTTGGACGTGGGGAGCCTTTTCCTCTGAGCCTGGACCCGCCAGTTGCTGGGCGGGAGCCAACGTTGGCCCGGCACGATCCGTCGCCTGACCTTCAAGCCCTACAAATGGGCCTTCCTAACGTGTCCTTTCTCACAACGCCACTTTCTCTGCGGTGGAGGGTTAGGAGCGGCGAGGTGGTCAAGGCTGCGCAGGAAATGCAGTGCCCGTGCCACCTTCTTCCACGTTGGTTTCCCCAGCTGAAAGCACAAGATATAGAGCAAAATATAGCCATCAGGGTCAGAAACAGGGCTCGACTGTGATCACTCTGGGCAAACGGAGTGAGAACAACTCTCCGTAAGGAGAGAGTTGGGAGAGAGCTCAGTCTCCTTGCTAAACAGGGTTGGTGGTGATGGAGGTGGTGAGGAAGATGCTGCCACCACCTTCCATGTTCTCCCATGTTTGCCAGCATGGACGCTTATCGCCGCGAGAAGCTGAAGGAGGAGAAGCGGATCAGCCTGGAGCAGAGGCGCCGGCAGTTGCAGCAGCTGCTCTTCGAGGAGCGGGAGATGCTGGCGGAGGAACTGCGAGAGCTGCGGCTGGGCAAGGACGAGATGAGCGAGATGAAGCAGAAGAATGAAGCGCTGAAATCCGCCCGGGAAGGGCGCAGGAAGCAGGTCCGTAGGTCGGGACTGTGGGGAGATAATTTCTCTGGAGGGAGAGAGGAAGTGGGCTTGGCCGAGCTTTGAACCAAGAGCCCCTGAAGGCTCTTCCATGGAGGAATTGTTCTCCAGAGCGGAGTGTCCAGGTGGGAGGGGGAGAAGACCCCTTCTCCTGTGGGCGGCCACTTCTCCTCTGCAGCCCTGGTTCCCACGTTTCGGCTCTTCTGAGCCACGATCCTATGTGTAGCCATGTTCTCTCTGTGAGGTGATCATAGCCAAACATGGATTGAGCTGGACCTGGAAAAAAGGGGCCCACCTCAGGAGGATTCCCCATCTCTTTCCTTCGTCCACAGATTGCTGAAGAGCGGCTCTATGAATGCTGGAAGAACAACAGCGCCAAGCTCCGGGAGGTGAGAAATGGCCCCGATGGAGGGTGGACATGATCCTGTGGGCTTCTGCTGGAGCAAAGCGGGCCGTTTCCCGAAGGTGTAGGCCGACCACGGAAGAAGCTTTCTTCCCTTAGCCTCGCTGGGCCGCCCTCTGCCCAAGGATGCCAAGGGCGGCTTTGTCCCGGGGCGAAGGAACCGCCGGCCTGTTTCCCAGGTGGTGAGACCTGCTGGTTCTTGGCAGGTGCCGCACCCCCAGCGCAAAAATGCAGGTAGATGGAGGGATGCTTCCTCTTCTGTCTTCCCCAGGTGGAGACTGAGCTGCACAAGAAGCACGTGGTGGAGGCTTGGGGGGACCAGCGAGTGCAGAAGCAACAGGTAGGCAGGTCTCTTCCGGGATAGGAGAGGCCCCCCCTCCCCTCCCCAGCCACCCACCCACTCCAAGAAGGTCTCGGGCTGGTCTCGGGCCCGCAGGCATTTCACGTTTCTGTCTGCTCCCAATTGAGCGCGAAGCCACCGAGCGGGAAGAGAAGACCCACCTGGAGAATGAATATGAGGCCGCCCGGAGGGAAGCCCTGGAGAGGATGGCGGCGGCGGCAGCGAGGAGGAAGGAGGAGGAGCAGAAGCAGGCCGCGTTCCTGCGGCAGCAGATGGAGGAGCTGCGGCTGCGGGAGGCAGAGGTGCGTCCCGTGTATGTGTGTGTGTGTCCTCCAGCTTGGGAGCTGTGCAGAGCCTCTCCTCTTGGCCAGGCTTTCCTGCGCTCGTGCAGACCCGGTGTGGACTATGGCCTGCCACGGGAAGGAGGCGTCTCCTTGCCTGGGGGAGAGTTTGGGGGGGGTGTTGCCAGCTTTGTCCCACCAGCTGCCTCACCCTGATCCTGCTGTTCCTGGGGCTGGGGGAGAGGAGACCCTTTCCCTCGCTTGCTTCAGTCTTTCTCGTCCAATCCCTGTTCCCCCCGAGGCTCCGGGGAGGGCCAGGGGAGGTGCATGCGCTGAAGGCTCCTGGATCTTCCTTTTCCTCAGGCCCGGGAGCTGAAGGAGGAAGAGGAGAAGCTGTTGAAGCAGCACTGGGAGCTGGGAGCGCTGGAGGCAGACAGGAAGCGCCAGGAGGAGGAAAGGAAGAAGATCGAATTGGGGTAGGTGGCTCTGCAAGGGGTGGGGTCTCCGGGGTCTCCCTCCCTCCCTCTTGGAGAAGAGGAGGAAGGGCTAAGCATGAGGACCTGGGCAGGGGGAGCCCTGGGGCAGAGAAAAGAAAGGGCTTCTTCACAGGCAATTGCAGCTGTAGTTACTCTGCGATGGGACGCTCTGTACGTGCACAGATATGCTCTTCACACATCCTGGCCTTAAGCGCTCCTGCCTGCCCCCTCCCTCCCCCAGCCCTCTTGCATGCCTTTCTCTCCCGTCCTCTGAGTGATGGCGAGGCCTCTTTGCTCCCCAGGCGCTACCTGAAGCACCAGTATCAGGCCCAGCTGAAGCGACGGGCGCAGCAGATCCAGGAAGAACTGGTAAGCGGGCCTCGCGGGCGGGCAGGCCCACATTTTCGGGAAAGGGGGGCTCAGAAGGTGGCTGGCCATTTTGTCTTCTGAATCCCTGGAGGCTGGTTGCAGCGAGCGCTTCAGGAGCCGTCCTCTGCTGGTGGTCAGAGGAACTCTTTCTCCTTCACCCTGGAAGAGCTGTGCCTGAGAGTCCTATGGGAAAGGGCCCTTCTCCCCTCCCCCCCAGAGCCCACCGTCTTACGTCGCCCCTCCTGCCCTTTTTCCTCCAGGAGAAGGACCGGCAGATCCTGCTGGCCCTGGCGGAGAAGGAGGAGGGCGAGGACCAGCGCCTGCGGTCCGCCCGGCGGGAGCGAGCGGTGGCTGACGTCGCCTGGATGAAGGAGGTCCTCGAGGACCAGCTGCGGCTGGAAAGGGAGCGGGAGGCGGAGCTGGAGACCCTCTTCCGGTGAGGAGGACCCGTGAGCTCTGTGCTCAAGGCGGACACCTTGTCCGCATTCCAGAGGCACGATTCGGACCGTCCTTTGCATCTGAGCCGTCACGCCGGCCCCGGACGCCAGAGCTGTGCCTCCCTGTGACCCAGCAAGCTCCTTTTGCTAACTGTGGGAGGGGTGGGAAGCTCCCATGATGCCCGTCCAACCTCTCTCCCCCCCACACCCTTCCCCCAGAGAAAGGCTCTCTTTTAAGGACAGGCCTTCTGTCGCACTGAGCCCAGGGCTCTGAAAAAAAGCTGGTGGGCTGATACGACCGCCTGCTGCATCGTCAGAGGTGCAAAACTAGCTGCCCAGAACGGTCTTCTCTGCCCGTGAGGAGGCGGCCGCTGTCCCTTGGGCTCGCCTTCTTGGGTTCTCCGAACGGCTGCCGGCCTCCCCCGTGATGGGCGAATCTCTCCCTCTCTGTCCTCAGGGAGGAAGCCAAGCACGTGTGGGAGAAGCGAGAACAGGAGTGGGAGCGGGAGCGCAAGGCCCGGGACAGGCTCATGGCCGAGGTGAGGTCGCTGGGGAGGGTGTGGGCAGGCCAGGGGGAAAAGAAGGGAGGCTCCTGGCCCCGGAGGTGGAGGGTGGGTGGTAGCCTGCGCCTTTCCGTCTCCTCCTCTCTGTCCTGTTCCTCTGCAGGTCCTGGCCGAGAGAGCGCGCCAGATCCGGGAGAGGATGGAGCTCAACCGGCAGGCCCAGGAGGAGTCGGTGAAGCTCCGGGAGCAGCTGATCCAGGGGCTGGAGGAGGCCAAGCAGCTGACGCAGCGGGAGAAGGAAGAGGAGGCTGGCCAGAAGACGCTCCGCCGGCGGGAGCTGGAGGCCCAGGTAACGCCACCCCTCTCCGTGGCGGACGTGGAAGAGGGTTAGGGGTCCTCCTGCTCGCGACGGCAGGGACGCCGAATCAACGTGGCCCTGGCGTCGTGGTTTTTCTTTCAAGTGGGGCAAAATGTGTCCTTGGGCTGTTTGGGATGGAAATTGTACCCATTTTGGAAAATCCCAAGGGAACGGGTGTCCCCTTCTGCTCCTTTTCTTCTGGCTTTTTTCTTTGAAACCGGGGCTCCCCTGTCTTCTTCCCGCCGACTCACCCTCTCCTTGACCAACATCTTCAGCTCACGGAGCGCCACCTGCGGGAGGAAGAGGAGCGGCGGCGGCAGGAGGATGAAGAGGCCGAAGCCCAGCTGGAGGAAGAGCGGCTCAGGATGCTGGAAGAGCGGGAGGCCCGGCGCTTGGCAGAGCAGGGCTACCGTCACCAGGTGGGGAGGCAGAGGGGACCCCTGGCTGGCTGGCTGGGAGTCTCTTCGCCCGAGAACCAGGGATTGGGAGGGGGGGTGGCTTCTCCCCCAGGCGTGGCCCGGCCTCTCTAGGGAGCGGTGGTGGCGGGGAACCCTGCTTCCTGCCCCCTCGGCCCTGGGGTGGCCGAAACCGTTGCGCCTCTCGGCAGTCTCCCAGCTGGGGCTGCAGGACTCGAGAGAGTTGCCTGAGAGGGAGGGGAGGCAGGGCTGGCTTGGTCAGAAGCTGCATTTGTACCTAGGGAGCGGGAGAGGGGGGGCTCTTAACGCCTCAGTGGGTTATATGCAAATATATTCGCGAAGGCTTTCACAGCTGGGATCTAATGGCTGTTGTGGGTTTTTCGGGCTCTTTGGCCGTGTTCTGAAGGTTGTTCTTCCTAACGTTTCGCCAGTCTCTGTGACCGGCATCTTCAGGGGACAGCACTTCAGAGGACAGCACAGTATATATGCACATACTGAAAGGGTTTTCCTCCCTTCCCTCCTTTTCTAGCGCTACAGCTATCCCAAAACTGCCTGGAGCTAAAGGCGGCGGCAGTGAACGCCTGGGTTCCCCTTTGGATGCGTTTCTACCCTCACGGTGGGAACCACTGAGGTCGGGCCCTTTTCAAAGGACATTTTTAAACGCCAAGGGTCTCAAGTTGAAAAGGGGGGCAGACCCATCAGCCTGCAAGGCCAGCGCACCGAAGGCCGCCTCTCCACCTGTGACCGGCGCCAGCCTTCCCTTGCTGTGGATGTGACCGGGGGAGGGGGGCTCTCAGGCTCCCCAGGCGAAGCCACACGAGGGTCACGGTTGTTCCCAGGGAGGGAGGGAGGGAGGGAGAGTGACTGATGGGATGGCCAGCGGGAGGGAGGGAGCCCCGTGTGCCCCACATAAGAGGAGAGACAGCACATCCCCCGCTTGGGACAGGGGGACACTTCCCACCCAGCAGGCACAGTTGCCCGAGCCCCGTAACGGAGGGGCGACTGGTCGGGTCGTTCCCCCTTCCTTTTCCATCATGGAAGTCAAAAGGGTCAATAAAGCATGCGTTTTTTTTGTAAAATTTCGTGATTCATGCCTGCTGCAGTCATTACCAGCAAGCCAGGTGGGGTGTGCCCAAGAGGCAGGAAATGCCAGCTTTTTATTTGGCATTGGCGTGAGAAAGGCTGGCAGGACGCAGTGGGTGCTTCAGGACTTGTCTGTCCATCCTGATGGGGTCCCCTGTCTTTTGGAGGGAGCGCCCTTTCTCTCCGAGAGGAGCCCGCCGTGTCCAGGCACTGAGCCGGCTTTCTGGGGAGCTTTCCTACGGAGTGTAAGATGCCCACATCCGAACCCCTCGGGCTTTCTCCTGCCCTTCGGTGCCGTCGCCCTTTCTTGCCCTGAGGAAAAGCAGCCGGACTCACCCTCTCTGGGCAACCGAGGGCCGACGTCTGCCGGGACATGCCTTCCCGAGGGAGGCTCGCCTGTCCCAGGACGTCCCTTTTGCAAGGCTGGCTCCGTTTTTGCTGTCGGCCTCAAGAGGGGCAGACAGAAGACCCGCGGAAGAGGCAGGGTTTGAAAAGAGAGGCGGAGAGAGGAAAGAATTGGTTCCACCTATTTTTTGTTTGTTTTAACCCAAAAATAGTACAATACTTTTTAAAAAGGTAGTTAATTACAATGTGACATCATCATCCAACAATATTATGGCACTTGGTTTTGTTTTTAATATATAAATACCAACAGGATAAAACACACACACACACACACATCCTCTCCCCACCCACTCGTAACAGCTTCAGCTACAGCTCAGGCTTATAGAAACAGAAAGGTCCAGAAAAAGTAACTTTTCCAAGCTGAATGATAATCTCGCAGGGTGCCGGAAGCAAAAAACAGAAGCCCAAAGGCTCTCCTTGCCTATCTGTCGGCCGAATCTGCCTCTCCTCTTTCCCTCCCCGATCTTGAGGCCCGAAACGCCCAGGCAGGTGGGATGGCTCGGAGACCTCGCGGAGGGCTCCCCTTCTCCCTTTGACCTCGAGCAAGGAGCGGCTGCCATCAGTGGCAGCCTCCAGTAAGTGCCTTGCCTTTCGTGACCCTCTCTCTGTCCACAGTCCTCCCAACGTCCCATTTTCCACGCTTCCTGGCCTCCCCCCCCCACCCTGCTTCTGACCGTCTTGCCACATCCAGCCAGACCTTTCGCGCACCCACACGTGGCCTCTGAGCCATCCTCCGGGGAGGGTGAAGAGAAAGAGAGCAGGGAAGACCGCTTCACAGTGCATAGTTAAGTTGCAAAAACGTGTTTGCGAAGGGTCCTGAAAACCGCATGTCCATGAGGCGACACCTCCAAGGCTCAACAGACGGGTTGACATCTCCTAGTCTCTTCTGGCAAACCCACGTGGCCTGTGGTGGCCCAAGGAAGCCACCGGGGGGGGAGGGGGCTTTGGGAAATTTGTGGGGGTGGAGAGCAGGGGGTTCCTTTTCCACAGCCCAGTGGTGCCACAAAGACTTCGTTCGGGAGGGGGGGTTACACTATTTAGTGGTTAACGTGATGTCAGCCAAGATTCCAGGATCAGGGCCCTGTAACCTTGATCTCTGTTTAAGAGTTTACAACTGACGGGGGGAAGTTCCCCCACCCTCTAAAACAAAAGCGAAATGCTTGGAAAGAGCTGGCGCAAGACACGCAATCTCTCTCTCTCACACACACACACACACTCATCCTCGAGACCCTGGCAAAAACTGGCACAAAATAAGGCAGTGGGTTCTAAATAATCCTGGGAAATATTTTTTTTTAGAAAAGAAAATAAACATGCAGTTTCCTTATAATACTGAGGTTCCTTTAAAAAAAAAGACACGGAAATTCACCACCTTAAATATTCCTGTAAAAAAAACAAAAACCTTCACACACACAAAAACACACACACACACATGGGTGCGCTAACACGTGTTCAGTTTTTCACCAGCTGACGCCCCCTTCACCCCCCCCGGTCCGGAGCCGCCCCCTCAGTTGGTGTTCTCCTTGGTCGTGATGGTGACCAGCTGCTTGGCGGCCTTGGCGATGTCGTAGGCGCACTGGATGACCTGCTGGGTGACCAGCTGGATGTCGGCCGGCGGGCAGGCGTCTGGCGGGAGGGCCTTGGTGCACTCGGAGTGGAGCCGGAAGGCGCTGGCGGTCAGCAGCCGCAGGGAGGTGCGCACCAGCTCCGACTTGGGCTTCTGGAGGAGGGGGGAAGGAGACCCTGGAGGGGGAGACCTGGCCAGCATCCCGTGTCCCCCCCTCGTGGATCTGTGACATCAGGGCAGGCTGGGATTCCTCTCCCGAACCTGCCGTGGCTTTCCATCAGCCTAGCCACCAAGGATTCCAGCACCCAGAATCCTCCCCCCTCCGCCCAAGTCAGCCACTGGGGATTCTGCAAGTCGTCGTCCAAAAATCCCCAACCCCACCCCACCTTTTTCCAGCAGTTGATCAGCTTTCCCCACAGCTGCGGAGATCCCGTGCTTCGGCCACCCGCACCCCTCCAAAGTCCTCCTCCCAAGCGGCCTGGGCAGGAGGGCCGGCCTTCACCCGGGCTGGAACCCCCACCTCTCTCTCGCCCTCCCTGCTCCGTCCCTTTGCCCGGCCAAGAGCCACTCACTTTTGGAAACAGGGCAGCCATCTCTGTCACGGCCACGTGGATCCTTCCTGAACACGGGACGTAGCTGCGGGGGAGAGACGGGCAGAAGGACGTTAGCCGAGTGCAGCGAAGAAACCAGCGCCTCCACCCTAGCGCCGCTCAAGGGTTAGTCGTTCCAGAGGCACGGTGGTTAAAACAAGGAGGCCCCACACAGCCAGGCCTCTTTGCACGCTGGGTCGTTCTGCTGGCGCAGAAGGCTAGGAAGAAAGCATGCCAAGGCAAGGAGGGCTGGGAGGTCGGCTTCTGGGGGTCCTGGCCTGGAAGGGAGAGAGCGTGAAACGCCCGACGGGGACCTTCCTGGAGCCCAGACCCCTCTGGCAGGGTCTGCATTCCCAAGGGGTGCCCAAAAGAGACAGGGGCTGGCACCTGCCAGACGGTGGAATTCTTTTCTCCTTCCTTCTGGCAGGGCTCACAAGAGTCACTTCTGGAGTACGGCAGCCAAAGGACCCCCACCCCACCCCCCACCCCCTGACAGAGGGAGTGTGACATCTCTTTGCTGCTCCCCCACGCTGCTGCTATGGTTGGTTCCTCGCCCACCCAAAGCCATTATTCCACATTCCTAGATTTTGCCCTCGCGGCACATTCAGTGGGCGGGGGCCTCGCCAAGCGTCTCCCTCGGCTACCTGTCATCGCGTGAGGCAAGACCGGCTTTGCTCTTGCAAAACGGGTGGTGTGAAAAGAGGATGTGGGTGTGTGAACAGCCCCGGGAAGGGTGGAGTGCTGCCAGGGTGGCGGTGCCACCCGTTGGCACCCCAGGGGCAAAGCGGCCAGCAGGGAAGAAGGGCCACACCTGGCGGCTCCCCTGAACAAGGAGCTCTCTTGTGCCTGCTCACCTGCCCCCCCCCGGATTCCCTGGAGATCAGGTGTGGAGCCACCTGCTGTGTTTAAAGGAGAGGTGGGCTGGGGGGAGGGGGAAGGAAATCGGGGCACAGCGAAGGTGGCAGGGAAGTAAGGCTTTGACTCGCTCTCGTCTTGTGCCTGGCCCAGCCTTGGGCTCTACCTCCGACCGCTCCTTGTGAGGGTTAAAAGGCAGGACCAGCGGCAAGATGGGCTTCTGAGTTAAGTCTGTCAGCCACACGG